GACCATTCTAATAGGTGTCTAGTGGTATCTCGTTGTTGCTTTAAAAAAGAAAATGTTTGTTTTAATTTGCATTTCCCTGATGACATATGATGTGAAGCCCCACTTCATGGGCTTATTTGCCATTTTTATATCTTCTGTTGTGAGGTGTTTGTTAAGGTCTTAGCTTATTTTTTAAATCAGATTTTTATATGCTTATTATGGAGCTTTTTGTATATTTTAGATAACACTCCTTAATCAGATGTTTCTTTTGCAACTGTTTCTCCCAACCTGTGGCTTGTCTTCCCATTCTCTTGACATTGCCTCTTTTAGAGCGGAAGTTTTTCCCTTTAATGAAGTTCAGTTTATCAGTTATTTCTTTCATGGATCATGTCTTTGGTATCATATCTAAAAGTTATCACCATACTCAGGTCATCCAGGTTTACTCCTATATTATCTTCTGGGAGTTTTATAATTTTACATTTAGGTTGGTGATCCATTTTGTGTTATATTTTTAGTAAGGATGTTTTTTACACGTGGATATCCAGCACCATTTGTTGAAAAGACTATTTTGCCTCTTTGTATTGACTTTGCTTCTTTGTCAAAGATCAGTTGATTATATTTATTTAGGTCTATTTCTGGGCTCTCTATTCTATTTCATTGATCTACTTGTCTATTAATTTGCCAATACCACACTGTCTTTTTATTTTATTTTTTAACCCTTACCTGACGATATTTTTCTATTTATCTTCAGATAGATTGGAAAGGAGGGAGGGAAAGGGGAGAGAGACAAACATCGATGTGAGAGGGACACATTGACTGGTTGCCTCCCACATGACCCCAACCAGGGCTGGGCACGAACCACAACCGAGATATGTGCCCTTGGCCGGAATCAAACCCGCGACTCATTGGTCTGCAGGCCGACGCTCTACCACTGAGCCAAACAGGCCAGGGCCACACTGTCTTGATTACAGCAAATCTTTGTTCTTCTTCAGTATTATTCTGGGTCTTTTACCTCTCCATATAAAGTTTAGAATCAGTCTGCTTGGATTTTCATTGGAATTACATTGAATTATTAATTTCTTTTAAGTCTCACTTCTACTTAATATCTGTGATTTTAGACAGTTTTCTTATCCTTTCTGTGCTTTAGGTTTCTAATATGTAAATAAGGATAATAATAATAGGTTGTAACAACATCTGCCACAGTAATAAGTACCATTTAGGTGTTCAATATTATCATTATTGTATCATCGTCATTGTCATCATCATCATTTGTTTCAACACTGGGAGACATAATTCATTCAGGGACACAGAGCTGGAGGTGGAGACAGCAGAACTGGAATGTTTTCTGTCTCTCAAGTCAGATTATATAGCCCACCTTCCCCTTGCCAGCCTGCCATGTCAACATTTGTGTGCTAGGGAAGAAGGGAAAGAAGAATCAGAAAGCTTCCACAGGGCAAGCACACGTTGTCAGAGGAACTGAATCAAGCCACTGAAAAGAATATGCATAGTCAGGTTTCAACGTAGAGGCCAAATTGCTTTGTCAGGTATTCAAGCGGCATCAGTGCCTGCTGTCTGCCATCCAGCGCTTCTGTGGCGGCCTCTATGGAAACATAAACTGTTCCGGGAGGAGCGGTCTCCAGGAGCCCATGCAATAGAGCATGAACCCAACGCCTAGAGAGGCCAGGTGACTGCCTGACACATGCAGGTAGCAGCGGCCGAACTGGCACCAGTTCTACTTTGCAGATCTTCTCTGCACAGCGCTTCTTCTCTGGGATGCCCGGTGGTTCTCTGAAAGGGAAGGACTAGTTCAGAACCTGCAGTGGCCACACCAAGCTGTGGGTGTGGAGAAGACAGTGAATGCCCTAGTGTGGGCCGTGAGGCTGTTATAGAGGGAGCCAGCTGATTCAGGGAGAGAAGGGATCATGGCCAGGCTCTGTTAACAAGACAGATAGCAGTGAGACAGATATGCATTTTTATTTTATGTTATCCTAGTCACAAAATGCTTTCCTGTTGTTTATGCCTCTGACGTTTCCGGTCTTTGCCAGACTGAGGACCAGACCATTTTCTTGTTCCACTTACAAAGTGAGCAGCTACAGATGGCAGGCAAATTTGAACATTATTCTTTATCAGTACAAAGTGAAAACCAAATTCCTTGTGTTTGTGGCAAGGCTCTTTTTATTCGGTCAACGCAAAGATTTGTTTACTTTTCTTTTGTCTCTGGAAAGCATACTGGTTGGGCCAGCTACTAGATTTCAAGATGCCCTGTAACCCTCGTTTTTGTTTTTCGGTAGATATTATTTAGACCTTCCTGGACAAATTAACCACTATCACCTGCAGTGTATTACTTATGTGATCTCGGCAAGTGGCCTCATCTCTCTGGTCTCCTGATCTGTCCATTCAGGACTGGACTTCTTTACTCTTTGCTAAATCCTAGTTTAGGTACTTCCCGGGTGTCACCCAATTTCATTTTAACCTTTAACATTTTTGCCGGGTAGAATCCTATTTGTTATTTCTATTTTTCACTTCATTAAACTGAGGCACCCAGAGGTTAAGTAACTTGCCCAAGGTCACACAGATAGGTTGGGGCAGACCCAGATTCAAACCCAGTTAGTCATATTCTAGAACCTGCCTGCCTAATGGACTATTAACTACTGTGCTTGTATTAGCATTGCTATATGATTGCTCTTCCCACATTTCTTCCTACAGAGGGTGCATAGCCAACCATTCTTTAGATAGGAGGTGGGACTGTGCAGCCATGGAAACAGCTCCATAGAGCCACCTGTTAATAAGTTTCTCCATTCTCTAGGAATACCTCAAATCTCTTAGGAACACATGTACTTATGATCTATGAGCAAACACATTCATGGACTGAGTATATGTATTTATATGCATTATAGAAACATGTTCAAGGTAGAGATCAGAATATGAATGTAAAGAAGCAAGGCATTGACAGAATCATTTACGGGCTCATTATTGTGTTGTAAAGGGTGATCATTCATTTGCTTAAGTGAGATGAAAAGTGCCAGTATAGTAATACGTTGGTGATGGTCATGGTTAATCTGTCTGTGCCACACACACACTTGATAAATGCATTCACACTTGCCACACACTCCTGTGGGCTGTCCAGACTCAGACATCTCTCCCCCATTTGTGTGTGTGTGTGTGTGTGTAAAATTAAAGCAATTAATGAATCACTTATTTTTGGAATTTAAGAAATGGAAGCATTTTATAGGCATTTAGGTGGTTAAATTAAGCCAGTTAGCTTTCTCAAAATAAAGGTTATATCTCAACAAATTTTCATTAAATTCAACATGTTCTCCATGCCCTGCCTGGGCTGTCCGATACAGTAGCTACTTGCCACATGTTGCTATTGAAATTTAAAATCAGCTCTTCAGCCACCATAGCTACATTGTGCATGCTCGTGGCTCATCCTTGGCTAGTAGGTAGCTACCAATTAGATGATGCAGGTTCTAGAACATTTTCATTACTATAGAAAAGTTCGATTGGACAGTAGGATACACTGAAGATGCAGTGATGACCCAAACATTTATGGGAATATAGTCCTGCAGAGAAGACAGCCACTTAAAAAGCCATCCCAGGTTGGGGGTCAAGAAAAAACAGAGGGCAACGAGAGGGTACAGCAGAGGTGATCAACCCAGGGATGGGTGGTCAGGAAAACCAAATCAAAGAAAACTCTGTATGCATGAAACACAGACCAGTTTGGTTTTTATTTTTTTTAATTAAACTTAATTTTTAAAGAGAAGTTATTTTCTCAGCAACTGGATTCCACAATTAATATCAGTGTGATGTTTAAAATATTATATTATTGAAGAATAAGTTTAAATAAAATTTATTTTATTATTAAAACATTTGCTGTAGTACATCTCAAAAGAAGCCAATGCAAAATGTACACATAATATGATTCCATTTATTTGAAATTCTAGAACAGGCAAATTAGTCTTTGAGGCTAGAAATCAAAGCTTTAGTTGCCTGGAATGGGGGCAGGAGGGTGGGTGAGAGCAGGGATTGACTGCAGAGGATCTTGGGGTTCTTTCTGGGATGTTGAGGATGTTCTGGATTTTAATTTTGTACATGAGCGTATGCATTTACCAGTGCTCATGGAACTGTATAACTAAGACCTGTACATCTCCTAGAATATAAATTGTTTCTCAATTAAAAATTGAATGCATAGAATTTTGTTTATTGTAATGTGTTATAGTTGATATGAGTAGCATTATGGAAATGTTCATTGCCCTATCCCTTTGTCTGCCAGGGACCTGGCCTTCAAAACCTTCTATCATCACTGGCAGGAGGATTTCTGACATCCTTCTGGGTCTTGTACCATGTGGATATACAGCAGACTTGTCATTTCGTTCAACATTGTTTCAGTAAAATGATCAGATGCTGGGGGGGTGGGGGTGGGGCTTAACTCCCGGTTAGTGAGATTAGCCTATGGTCAGATTGGTTTAGTTATACATTGTTTCCCTTAAAGTTGCAGAACCTATGGAAGGCATTAAATGACTTACTATAAATAATGTTGCTTCTGCTTTTCCAGTTTTTCATGGTTGCTTTCTTATCAAAAGTGGCTAAGCTGGAAGGATCTTTGCCACAATGTTAAGAATGGTGTTATTCTGGGATGAGGAGATTTTAGGCAAATGTTATATCTTTGATTTCTTCACTGTAACAAGGATCATGTCTTTTTTTTTTTTTACTACTCTGAAACACAAAGGCTCATTTTTTCTTGTCCTGGAAAGTACATTTCTTGGGTGCTATATAGTCACTTGAAAACGTTGGGTTTTATGCCATGGTTAGTAACACATTTCCTTCCCAGCAGTGGGTGATTGTTTGATAGTCATGGGGTCTCAGTGAATGGATACTTTCATGCCTTGTCTGTTTCCACCATACTGCTCCTGTTCAATCTCTCTGTGGTCCTGGGGTATCAGGCTGTGGATTTGAGGTACTTGGAGGTGCCCTCCAACTGTCTGCGCTTCTCACCTGCCTCCTTCATCCTGTGCTCACAGATTCTTACCTGACCCTCGATGAACCCATGAATAACATCACCACGTCCCTGGGGCAGACGGCTGAACTGCACTGCAAAGTCTCTGGGAATCCACCTCCCACCATCCGCTGGTTCAAAAATGATGCCCCTGTGGTCCAAGAGCCCCGGAGGATCTCCTTTCGGCCAACCAACTATGGCTCTCGGCTGCGGATTAGAAACCTGGACACCACAGACACAGGCTACTTCCAGTGTGTGGCGACCAATGGCAAGAAGGTGGTTTCTACCACGGGAGTCTTGTTTGTCAAGTTCGGTAAGCATCCTGCTACTGGGGATGGATGGCCTTTGGCCCTCAAACTCCATGGAGATGACGAGGTAGGAGGCGAGAGGGCACGTAATGAGAATGCACTGTGTGCCCAGCAACCCTAACTCTGGCACAGTTGTACCCATTTCATTAATAGGTAAACCAAGACCCATTGGTTGCCTACTGTGCTCGGGGTTGCCCAGCTAAGTAACCAACAGAGCAGGAGTGGAATCCAGATCTGTCTGACCCCACAGCACCTCCTCTGTGCCAGTGAGAGCACAGCTGGAAAGTGTCCAGCACACATGCCCCTTTCTGTCCAGTGGCCATCAAAGACCCTGCTGTTGTAACCAGGCAGCGTCAGGGTGCAAACTCCCTGCAGCCTGTGAGGACGCCTCTCAGCGGATTCATTTCTCAGCACTCGTCTTAGCCTCCTTTGGGCCCTGAACTGTGGGATGTAGACACGTTCTCACTGGTATGCTTTTTTGTAGCGGTGGTTGTGGGGGAACTGGAGCAAAATAATGAATCCCAGAAAAATAAATATCACCTCAGGAGGTTTGAGAACTTTAATCTGTAATGGTTTAACTGTACCCATGCTCGCCATCCAATAACCCAGACTGACTGTTTCCTTTGTTTTTCTTTCATTTCTTCAGGCCCCCCTCCCACCGCAAGTCCAGGATCCTCGTAAGTACTGTTATCTCCTTTCTTGGTATTCCTGAGTGTCTCTCCAGAGATTTCTCGGGCAAAGGCAGTGTTTGTCTGCTGCTTGAGCCAAAACACGCGGTGTTTCCAGATTTCGTTCCAGTTCGCCCTGCCCTCGTTGCATTTTGCTTTCTCTCTGACATGAATATTCACAGGAGACCGCCATTGGCAGTGGTCTCAGGGGTGGTGGTGTTGATTCGGAGCAATCGAAGCAGAAATCTACTTGCATTTACTCTCTGAAAATTAGTCTAACATTACTTATAACCATGGATTTGGTCAAATCAAACAAAAAAATAGCACATGCTGTCTTAAGAACTTGTACTCTGGCCTTCAACTTAAATAGGGTCTATTCTATGTTTCCACAAGCATGTCTGATGCTTTGGTCATTGAACAGGTCAACAGTTAGGTGATTACTTTATTTATTCCCTTTAAAGAATGCGGACACAGAAGTTCTGACTCACAAAGGGGAAGAAAGCCCTGTGCCTGGGTTGAGAGTTACATGCAGTTTGATTCATTTTGAGTCTAAAGATCCAATTTCTTTTCCTGATAGTATTGTTGATGCATCTGTCCTTTTTTCTGGCTAAAGGATTCTCTCCTTTTGCTCCACAAGTATCCACTTGGGATATTTTTTTTATGTGTATTTTTATTTTGTGAGGGGAGACCCATTTATTAAAACTGTTGCTCTGCAAGAAAATGTATTTCATATTTTGTAGACTTCCGAAATAAAATTCACCAGGTTCTGCCACGAGAGCACCGAAATGTCTGACCTAGACTATACCCGTGGCAAAAGTAACAGCCAATTTATTTGCTCTAATCCCCTCTGTGCCACTAATTATAATGTGGGATATTTTAATATATTTGTGTGCCTGGAGGCCCAGTGGCCCACAGTCCCATTAATAAAATAGGTAATGGGTAAAAATAAACATTGGCCATCAGCCACACTGTTTTGCTATTTTATCAGCTGGTTAAAGGCGACCGTAAAAGAAATCTTTAAAATCACCCAAGTGCTAATTGCATTCTACTTGCCCAGGTAGAAAATGTTCATTGATCTAAAATAGGTCAGAAGTTTGGTCACTCTGCCTTGCATTTTTTGAAGTTAATATATATTTTTTAATGATCTCACAATTGATTGATATGTGGAATCCTTTTGAAGTCTTATTTAAACAAAGATTACAACTTTTGTTACTTGCTATAAAAATGCTTCCCACCGGGTACCGTATTTGTTCCTGTTAATCTGTTTTCAAATGTGGTTGATAATCTCTATCCCCGGTTGATGAATGTGGTTTTCACTAATCTGCGTTTATTATTAAGCTGTGGGCTGTTGACTTTCTGCCTGTTTTTGCAGAAAGTTGTATTTGCATCGGAAAGCTTTTTTTTTAATTAGTATTACGAAAATTATTTTTAAATACTTGTATGTCCTTTCTTTTTGAAGTTTTACTTTGCTGCCACCTTTCTGATGAACCCAGTCTGTCTCACATGGTTTTTAATTTTATGCAAAGATAGTACAGTAGTTCCCCCTTATCCATGGGGGGTGCATTCCAACACCCCCATTGGTTGTCTGACACCACAGATAGAACCGAACCCTGTATGTGTTATTTTTCCCTGAACATGCATCCTCTTTATGGTTTCTCTTTGGCATATCCAAATCACCAGCATCACTACTCTTGTGCTTTGAGGCCATGATTAAGTAAAATCAGGGTTACTTGACCACAAGCACTGCAATACCAGAACAGACTGTCTGATCACCCAGATGGCTACTGAGTGACCAGCGGGCAGGGAGCACATACCGCGTGGAGACGCTGAACGAAGCGATGACTCAGGTCCTGGGCAGGACGGAGAGGAGAGGAATGGCGTGTAATTTAAAACTTAGGAATTGTTCATTTCTGGAATTTTCCATTTAATAGTTTTGGACTGAAGTTGACCGAGGGTAACTAACACCATGGAAAGCCAAACTGCAGATAAGAGGGGGGGCTGACTACTATGTACCATTTTCGTGAGCTGATGTCTATGGAGGGTATTGAAGTCATTAAAGATGTGTAACCGTGGCTAAAAGTCTCCTTTGATGTCAAGCACCTCTGCTTTATTTTAGCTGTGCAATTAATCGTCGTGTTAGTCAGCAAGGGCATGAAATATATAGTTGCATTTTTGCTTGGAGGGAGCTACAGCGAGATGCCGTTGACGTTGGAAATCCCAGGGAGCTTTTGGAGGGTCTGTCTTCGCCCTCATCATGGCATCGCCCATTGGCATTTTGATACCCTTTTTTCTCTTTCCCTTAGAAACCAATGATGCATCCCTTTTTATTTTATTTTTTCTCAGTTGCCACTACTTACCCTGTCTCTAAAGTTCTTCTCTTCCTAAAACTAACTCCCCAGTACAATGCTGGTTCCCTTTCCTACCCTCATAGTCCCCAACAAGCAGCCAAACCTCACTACAACGGGACAGGTAGAACATAGCAAAGTGACAGCCATGGGGATATCGCCACATTTCGGATTGCTTCGAACGCCTCTTGTCACACCGGGCAGCACCTCTTCCAAGGTAGGAGTGAAAGGCTGTTGCAGAATCGCTCTGTTTCTGGAAGGGACACAGCAGGGTTACTGCAAGGAAATAGAAGCAAGTCCACGGCGCAGCCCTTGCGTTTGAACAGGGATGTTTAGGTGGATGGAACGAGAGCTGAGTGCCATCTGAGGCCACAGGGCTGGCTCCACAGCCCCACAGGGAAGAGCTCGTCCCTCGGGACTATGGCCCAGGAAGGCAAAGCATGTGAGGTACTCGTCACTCGCTGCAGCCACATCAGGTGTTCACGCGAAGCTCACAGGATGGCATTTTAGGTTGTAGTAGGAGCAAGTTTGAGACATCAGTAGTTTGGCTTCTGTTCAGAGCTTCAGGCTTTCTTTTCTTCTGTCATTTCTGTGTCCTGGCCCGCCTCTAACCATTACAGGGCCTGGGGCATGAACACAAGAGGAGGCCTACATACCACACGTCTACATATTTAAAAGTTATAAATCAAGCTAGCAAACTGTTAGATGAAATATGTTCTATCCTCCCACGTTGACAAATATACCTTCATAATGACAGAATAAAAAATACATGCAGAGTTATGGTTTTTATCTGACTGGAAGCCAGAAACTATCAAAAGACTAATCATTATTATGCATGTCTTGGTGTTCTGTTAATGGGCCAGAGATATTATATATAATTTATAGATTGTTATATGTTAGTTCCATTAAAATTTTTATAGCCTTCATTTCAGCAAGATGACTACCTATGTTGTTTTACACAGGATTTTTACAGTGTGTATTTTTTTGACAACAATGCCAAATCAGACAAACACTCTCGAGTCAATGTAATTCTTACTTTTTAAAACTAATTAAAATTTGGAGAATTTATACTTCCCTGAGCTAGTAACAGCTATAATTCTCAATGAAATTGCTAAAGCAATACTTACATTTCCTAAGAATTTTAGCAAATGAAGTAAGAACTTTGTATTATCATGTTCAAATATAGTAATGGGGTCATATGATAATTCATTAATGCAGAATATATTACAAAGTATAATTTCATCATAAAATCAGTATTTTGCTTTATACCTTGTCCTATATACATATTAATTTAAGAGGAATATGAATTGTTTAATATATATGTTTTTTAGGGCGGCCATAAGAAACTACCACAACTGAATAGCTTAAACCGACACTTACTCTCATAGTTCTGGAGACTGGAAGTGAGAGATTAAGATGTTGACACGGTTGGTGCCTTCTAAGGGCTGTGAGGAAGACTTTCTTCTGGTGATTTGCCAATATTCTTTTTTTTTCAATATATTTTTATTGATTTTAGGGAGAGAAGAAGGGAGAGAGAGAGACAGAGAGAAACATTGATGTGAGAGGGAAACATCTATCCATTGCCTCCCACACACACCCTGACCAGGGATAGGACCCATAACCTGGGTGTGTGCCCTGACCAGGAATCAAACCGGTGACCCTTCGGGACGATGCTCAACCAACTGCGCCACACCGGCCTGAGCTGCCAGCATTCGTGACTTGTAGAAGCATCACTGTAATCTCTGCCTTGATAGTCACATGGCCTTCTCCCTGTGTATGTCTCGGAGTTTCCTCTTTTTATGAAGACATCGGTCTTATTGTATTAGGACCTACCCCAATAACCTCATTTTGACTTGATTACCTCTGTAAAGACCCTATTAACAAGTAAGGTCCCATTCTGAGGTACTGGGTATTAGGACTGCATATGGATTTGGGGAGGGACATAATTCCACCCATAACACTTCATATTGCAAAAGTTTTCTTGGCCACCTGAAACTCTTGCATCTGTTACTCTAATTTATGAGAACTTTTAGCAGCACTGGTTGTAATATAAAGAAAAGAAGGAAAATGGATGTTTGGTAATATTGGGAATGATTGTTGTGTAAAAGTCTGTTGCATTCGACCTGGGAGGCAGAATCCGACAAGTTGATTACTTTGCCTTGTCTCTTGCTGAGGTCTCTTGCCTCTGCTGTCCTCCCCGCGCTCCACGCAGTTCTGTCCCCTCCACTGGCCAGGACACAGCACACCGACCTTTGCCGTGGACAGCCGGGTGCCTGCCGTGGCCAGAACAGTGTTCATCACGGGAGTGGGTGTTAAAGGTTTCGGGGATACTGTGGCAGCACTGAGTGCCAGAGCCCGAGAGGCGGGACCCCGCGTGTAGTCTTTACTCTTGTTAAATTACTTTCAGGTGCTTTTTGTATGTGGGCTCCGGGCAAGAGCTTTTCTCTTGTTTCTTCTTCTTCTTCCTTCTCCTTCTTCCTCCTCCTCCCCCTCCCCCTTCTGCCCTTCCTCCTCCTTTTCTGCTGCTTCTACAGTTTTACTGAGATGTAGTTCACATAGTATAAAATTCCCCATTTAAAGCATTAAACTCAGTGTTTTTAGTATATTCACAGAGTTGTATTACTGCTATTTGTATTACTGCTACCTTCTTTTAGAACATTTTTA